TTTTTTTCCACCCCCCCCCCCCCCGGTGCTCCGCCTTTTGCTCCCTTGGTGACTCAACCCACGACCTTAGGGTTGAAAGTGGAGGGTGACCCTTGAGCCTAACTCAACCCCAAAAGTTAGCTCATGAACGGAAGGTTGTCCAAGTCCGTATAAGCAGACCAAGTGCCCATTCCCCAACCAATGTCCCACTTTAACACCCCCTTCATGCCTAGGCCCAATCGGACCGTGAACAATATAGCATGGGTCCAAATAAGGAAGGACCAACCTCTGATACCATGTAACAGACCAGGTATGGGAGAATAAACTGATATATTATTGCATGGAGTAACAAGTATATATACATGTACATAGTATCCTAACTGTGGAGAGAAGCAAAAAGCAAAATCCCATAGATCTATTATCAATCCCTATAATTATCCTAATTATGTATACAAGGAATATGACTACATTAATTCTTTCAACAATAACAAAGTAAAAAGATCGTGAAAAATAGGAAGTTGCTTTAAATGAGGAACCTTACCATGAAATTTCCAGATTGGTTGTTTTCCATTAGTAACAACCTCAAACATTATTTGATCTCCCGCCTTTATGTCATTCGCAGCACAGAATTGGCCCCATCTTCCTCCAACACAGACAAGAGAACAAGAGGTATATATCCTTAAATTCCATGACCTTTGTCTTTCATCTCTAATAATTAAACCACAATTCTTGTTGGTGAGACCATTTTCCTTCGCAAATTTACTAGGAATGCGCTGAAATTGTTTATAATGATTTGCACATTTCATCAAAAATTTCATATGCATCATATTTTACCGTAAATAACTCCAACTGATAAAGAGGAAAAGAAACAAAATAGTGCATATGTTCCCTTTGAGACTTACCAAGTAACCATTTGTAAGGAAATACTGTTTCACCGTGCATACAAACTGAGATTGACCAGAAGGGTCATGAGGAGCAGCTTCTGCACGGGGAAATGGCTTTGCTTTAATGAAAAAAATGATCACAAATAAAACATGAAAAAGCATCTACATCCACCAAATCATTTGGCCAATTTTCTTCTAAATAAATTGAAACTTATGTTAAGATTATGGCTATTAACTTGCAAATTCATCAAGCATAAACTAATGGACTTTAAGATGTTACCTTCCGATTCGAATTTCTTGCAAGTCTCTTCAAAAGTATGGGCTTCGGTTTCTTCTTGTTGCAAATTCTTTGCATATTCTGTTGATCATAGTGAATTTAGAACCTTCTCACAAATGAAGCCAAAGCTCTTTGACGAAGAAACACCATATAGTGTCAGTGGTGATTCTCTGCCATCCTTGAAGAAATTTGAAGATTTCAAGTTTTTTTTTCATTACTACCTCCAGTTCAAGCTTGGAGGATGTACACTCCTATTTATGGAACGATGATTGAACCTTAGTTTTCTAACATTAGACAACAATGTCCTACAATTAGCACTAGAAGCTTTGATGATTCAGAACACCACAATTTGGTAGGTTTTAGATAGAAAGAACTTATTTGTAAAGCAATAAATTGGAGACCAAGCTACTTTCTTGTAAAAAGAGGTCGAAAAGGGAAGACAGAGAAGAATGGTTGCCTCTATGCATATTAGCTATTTTACTTGCTATTCTCAAACTTAATCTTGATTGTGTCCACATTGAAACAATCAAACAAATGTGCTTCTTGACTCCACTTTACAGTGGTGCTTAAACTGCAAAAATACTTTCCAAGGAATGTCGTTGTGAGAAATAAAGGCACGCAACAAATATTATTGAAATGTGTTACTACTATTGTCTTACACTGAGCCCTATTTATACCTATACTTTATACTATATAATAAATGTTTCTAATGTGGGACACTAAGTGTAATATTAGATATATGAAGTATCTATCCACTTGAAGCCGGTGCATACAAGTCATATGTACCGAGCTTGATACAGATGTAACTAATACAAGGGGACCAAGTAGTGAAAATATCTACAAGTTGTTCATTTAACTTCACAAATTTTGTAATAATATTTTCTGAGAGCATTTTAAATGTTTAGCTGTTTATGAAGAACAATTTATTACAGATTTGAACAACCAGACACAAAGCAAATAATTTTATCCAAGAAGTTATGAAGTGTCATGGTGCATATAACTAAGTAAAAAAACCGTGAAAAATAAGAAGTTGCTTTAAATGAGGAACCTTACCATGAAAGTTCCAGATTGGTTGTTCTCCATTAGTAACAACCTCAAACATTATTTGATCTCCCTTCTTTATGTCATTCGCAGCACGGAATTCACTCCATCTTCCTCCAATATAGACTTGAGAACAAGAGGTATATATCCTTAAATTCCATGACCTTTGTCTTTCATCTCTAATAATCAAACCACATTCTTTGTTGGTGAGACCATTTGCCTTCGCAAATTTACAAGGAACGCGCTGAAATTGTTTATAAAGATTCACACATTACATCAAACAACTCATATGCATTAGATGCTCACTTAAACACTCCAATAAACAAAGAGGAGAAAAATAAACAAAATGGTGCATATGTTTCCTTTGAGACTTACCAAGTAACCATTTCTAAGGCAATACGGCTTAACAGTGCATATAAACTGAGATTGACCAAAAGGGGTGTGAGTAGCGCCTTCTGCATGGGAAATGCCTTGCTTTAATAAAAAAATGATTACATAATTAGGGAGTCGTTTGGTTGCTGGTTAGGAAGTGAGTTATCCATTTATAAAATCAACATAATTAGTACCATGTTTGGTAGCATTTTAGTTGTTATGTGTAAAATTCAGCACACCAAGTACGGTGTTTGGTTATAGAACAACACATATATACGTTGTAGTCAAATACTTGTAAAAAATTTAAAAATAAAATATTTCAGAGGATACCTGATGGACTTAAATCCCGCACCAGATATTCGTGTAGCTATGGGTAGAATAGTTCATAATGTAAACCATGCATGGAGAACAACACACCTATTGAGGTATTCCCTTGCTTGAGAGGAGTGCTGAACGAGTCCAAATTTTACGTTTTAAAAGATTGACCATGAGGCAAGGTATTATTATACAGAAATGTGAGTTTGCTACTTTTGTCATCTTAAAAGAGCCACAATGAAATGTTATCTGTCACTCCATTCTGTTATGTATCTTGATACTTGTTGTCAACCTTTTCTTGCTACCCTTCTCCGGATAACTTTTCTTCTTGAACCGAGCGTCTATAGGAAACAACCTCTCTATCCTACCAAGGTAGGATATAGTTTGCGTACATCTTACTCTCCCCACACCCCACTTGTGGGATTACACTAGGTATGTTGTTGTAGTTGATGTAAGTACGGTGTTTAGTTACCAATTTACAGCTCCATATCATTAATACATGTATAAGTTATGAGAAAATCTATTTATTATTTATGCAAGGTAGAATATGTAAGTAATACATAATAACTAAACCCTGCAGTACTAATACTTGCATAACTCTAACCAACAACCAAACGAGTTGTAAGGGTATTAACATAAACAATTGGACTCTAAAGATGTTACCTTTGAATTCAACATTCTTGGAAGTCTTTTCAATAGTACGAACTACTTCTTCTTCTTCTTCTTCTTCTTCTTGCAAATACTCTGCATATTCTCTATCACAATGACTTAAATTAAAGACGGAAACACCAAATTCCAAGTCTCCTTCATGTCTAAAAATCAACATATCTCCTAACTTCAAATCATGCTCCTCCGTGAATTGTCCCCAACCCTCGTCCAGTTTCTGTCCATTTAGCTTCACCACCCACTTCTTACCACCCTTCTTCAGTATTGCATGTCCCTTTTCCTCACATCCTTCCAAATACTTCAAGAAACCATCTGGAATTTTCTGCAGTACAACATAAAACTTCACCCAAATAATCAAGCTGTTTTTTTTTTCTTAAAAATAGTTTTTTTTTTCTTTTCTGGGATAAATTCTTCCACCTCCATATACACATATTACTCATATTGGCGGAGCCAGGATTTTCACCAAATATACCTAAAAAATAATTTTAACCATATATAAACAGTGTAAAACGGGTTTGAACTCTACCAGACTCCGCCCCTGAATTTACTCCCTACATTACAATTTATGTGCTCTGATTCGGAATACAATAGTTAATCTAACTAATTCTCAGTGTAAATACAAGCATAGAATCCCCAATTTTAGATTTACATTAAAAAAAAAACATTGTTTTTGACTCTCCAAATAATATTTAAACACATAAATTGAAACAGAGAGATTAAAACATAAGAAAAAATTGAAAAAAAAAAAAAAAGTATTAAGGATTTACTCACCAGACTATTCTTGAAACCTGGGAGAAGGGGTTTGAAAAAGTGTGGTTTAACTGAAGTGACTTTCATGGCCGCAAAGAGAATGCAGTAAACTCTACTGTGAACAAATCATACTTACTTTCTGTAAATTTTGAATACAATTGAAGGAGAAAGCAAATTATTTGGAAATTTGATGGCAGCAATGCAGCAAGTAGAGTGTGTTGAAGAACAAGAAGAAATTTTGCAGCATCCAAAGCAATTTTTTTTGAAGAAATGCACTAAATTTTAGTGTTTTTGGGAGTTGGGACAAATAAAAGCAACGAACATTGGGGAGAAAAAAAATCATAAATTTTTGATGGTTTAATTTGTATATAGTTGGATGAGTTAATAACTCGTGTGATTTATCATTAGGGTTCATTTTAATTCATTTAGTTTAGTTCATTAATTAAAAATGTTAAAATATTTTTAAGAATAATTTTGTTTATTTGATATGTTTTTTAAAGTCATAACATGAAGGGAAAACAAATATTAGGTATCCAAATAAATAATTTTTAAAAAAAAACTAGGTTTGAATTTAAAAATAATTAAAATCGAAAGAATTGGATTATGACCTAATTCTTAGCTCATTTTCGTCTGATTTTTTCAATTGAAATACTGTTTAAGTGGATTAATAAACGATGGAAAAACTCATAATATTTGAAACCCTTTGGCTTACGATGGAAATAAATTTTTCTCCTATTTTAATTTAGGGAAAATGGTCAAAAATACCCCTTAATTTTGGTTTATTAGTTGACTATGTCCTTACTGTTAAAATGAAGTTATTTTTACCCTTACCATTACTAATTTCGTCATTTGTACCTCTATTGACGGAAATTCTCAAATCGACTTAAAAGCATTTTATTTGACAATGTAAGAAAAAGACTCATGAAGTGAAGTTGGAGTCAAACTAAAATTACACACACAAAAAAAAATGTTTTTAGGGATGGTAAGACCTTTGGATGCTTAATATTGATAAATTCTAATTTTGACCCTTGTAATTAATATACGATATATTTAATTTTCAATTGATTTAAATTTATGTGATCTCTTTATATAGAAAAGTGTCATATTTTGATTAGTTTTAAAAGTGTCATATATAGAATAATAATGTAAACTTAACATAAAACTTATAATATGTTAAATCTTTTTCAAATTAATACGATGAAACAATACATTTCATATTAAAAGTGGATGAAATCATAACAACATGAAAAAAAAAAGTTAGCAAATTTTTCAATGGAATTCATAGAAAAAGTCTAAAGGATGTTAGCATTTTCACCAGATAATATTAACAAGCTAGTCAATATACATGAACATATCAGACCCTTATCGATTCAATACACAAAACATCTCACATTCACGCAGGATCTAGGGAAGGGGTGTGACATGCATACATAGAGAGAGATACATTCAATCGCGCTTCATTGTTCAACCAATCTCCAGATTTTTTGTGCCTACAAAATACATTAACTTATGTAAGTCAATGTAAAATTTGCAAGGAAGACAAATGGATTACAATGTTCACTATATTGTGTGACATTCTTTGAAGTGTTCACATAATTTTCAACCTCTTATCCATGTAATTAATGAATCCCTTTTTCAAAGAGTTAATGGTCAATGGAACAACCGATAGTGATGACAATTCAGGTAGGAAAATGGAACAACTACTAGTTGACCTAGTCATCCTCAAGGTGTTTTTTAATACATGAAGGACGATGGTTCACGTTGGAAAAGGGCAATGTTATACAAAACTTCATCCAAGATGCATGACAAATAGAGTTATAGTTCACTATGTAAGAGGCTTCTTAAATGAGAAAACATACCATGAAATTGCCATATTGGTTTCTCTCCATTAGTAACAACATCAAACATTATGCGATCTCCTTCCTTTAAGCAATTTGAATCACGAAATTCATGCCATCCGCCTTTAATACATACACAAGTTCCAAAATAACATAACCTTAAATCCCACGACCTTTGCCTTTCATCTCTAACAATCAAATCACGTTTCTTGTTGATGAGACCATTTGCATGAGCAAATTTCTTAGGAATGCGCTGAAATTGTTAACAACCATTTGAACATATTATCGAAACAGTTATTGTAAGCATGATCACTTTGGCCTAAAAAAGACTTACCAAGAAATCATTTGAAAGGCAATAAGGTCTAACAGTGCATACAAAACGAGAATAACCAAATGGCTTCGGACTAACTGCTTCACCATAGAGAAATGACTTGTTTGATGACTTGATGTTGGGGCTTGGTTTATCTGTTACACGGTTAATTGCACACAAATCTCGATAAGCCTCAGTCTCAAACACAAACATTTCACAAGAAATTTAAGGCCTCACCATGAAATTTCCATACAGGTTTTTCTCCGTTAGTAACAACTTCAAACATTCTACAATCTCCCACTTTTAAGCAATTTGCATCACGGAATTCCTTCCATCCACCTACTATATAGATCTCAGAACCATAGGCAGTTAGCCTTAAATTCCACGACCTTTGTCTTTCATCTCGTATAATCAAATCACATGTCTTCACGAAACCATTTGCCAGTGCAAATTTTTTAGGAAGGCGCTGAAATGATTTACAACCATTGACAATATATCATCAAACATATCATATTTTTTTTTCTTTAAATAAACTCCAATATAAGTTTTGAGACTTACAAAGTAACCATTTGTAAGGCAATATGGTTTAACAGTGAACACGAAATGAGTAGAAACTTCTTCCGTATCGAGAAATGCCCTGTTTGAAGACATGATGCAGGGGTTTGGTTTGTCTGTTACATTTGTTAATTTGTAAACAAATCCATATCAAGATACTATAAACAATATTAACTTGCAAATTCATCAAAGTATAAACAAATAGACTCTAAAGATGTTACCATTGAATTCAAATTTCTTTGAAGTATCTCCTTCTTGTACCTCGTCCTCGTCCTCATCCTCGTCCTGTTCTTGTATTTGCATACACTCTGCATATTCTCGGTCACAATAAGTTGAATCAAAGATGAAAACCTCAAATTCCATATTTCCTTCATGTCTAAACACCAACATATCTCCCAATTGCACATCATGATCCTCTACAAATTTTTCCCATCCCTCTTCGAATCGATGTTCATTTAGTTTCACTAGACACTTCTTACCAACCCTTCTAAGTATTGCATGTTCATATTGATCATGTCCCTTCAAATACTTCACGAAACCTATAGGAATTTTCTGCATTAATACAACATAAACTTTAGATTACACTAATTTAGGAGTACATGAAAATGTAGCAACTATCTACCCAAATTATGTTTCTTTTGTGAAACAAAATTCTTCCACCATATTCACTACAACAAACAGCTTCTAGCAGCAAAAAATATACACATTAGCAAAGAGTGTTAAAACCTTAATTATCAGCATTAGCTAATTGTCACTGGATCCAATGTCGCTATAAGCTTTAGAAGTCATTTACAAAAAGTGTTAATTACCTCTGGAAAAAAAAACATATTTAGCGGCAATTAGGTCATTGCCGTTAATTAAGTACCGCTAAAATCATTTTTGATATAGTGATTCTACAAACATAACAACTACACCTCAGTCACAAACAAATTTGGAATATCAGCTATATGAATTCCCACTTCTTCCACAAATAATTATACTCCCTTCATTTCAATTTGTTTGTCTTAATTTCCTTTTTAGTTCCTTTCAAAATTGACCTTCACGCGACATGTTTAAGACATAAGACTAAAAGATATTTTGATATATTCTAGGATCTTTGTGGTTTAAGACCATAAAATTCAACTGTTTTTACTTTCTTAAACTCAGTATCTACTAAAAACTAGACAAACAAATTGAAATCGAAAAATTCATATAGTAGATATAAATGAATGATAAAATTGACAAAAAGAGATTACTCACAACACCATTCTTGAAACCTGGTTGAATAGGTTTGAAAAAATGAGGTTTTTTTGGAGGGATTTTCATGGTAAGCCAAGAAAATGCATGCATACAGTGGACAAATGTATAAAGTTCTTTTTTTTAAAAAAAAATTGTGACTAATATAATTGGTAAGTGGAATTTAGTGGCAGCAAAGGCACTTTTTCCAATTCAGTGGACTGTGTAACATATACTTATGAATGAATACAAATCCCAATCTTGACTCTTCAAGGCTAAATCCTAATCCCAAAGGGTGTCCAAGAGAAGTACAACCGACGGCGTGTCAATTTACTGCGGTTTAGGGATTTCATAAATTAAATTATTGTCGCCTTTTAAACGGATTAGGCATAAGTATTATGATCGAAATTTCAGAGACATGTCTTAACTAAATTAAGGTAATTTTACCCTCTGAACTCATTTTCTTTTTGGCCTACGTAGCAATATTCAAACATCTCCCATGCGCCTCAACTACGTGGAGTCATTGAGTGTGCCACGTAATCCAAAATGTGTGTAAAATTACAAAAAATAATAATATAAGTATGGGTAATAGAACATTAGTTTAGTTAAGGTATGTCTCTGAGATTTCAGTCAAATTTTACTTCTTCTATCATATTTCGTGCTTAGGATATATGAGTCTAAATCCATGATATATATATATATATATATATATATATATATATAT